CTTTATCACGTCGTCGTCGTTGTCGTCATCGACATCATTGTAATCATCATCATCATCCATCATCATGATCATTAGGTCATCATCATAATCATCATCATCAAATCAAACGACAAATCCGATTAGAATACCGTACATTATGCAACGGTACATACGATCCATTTCTATAATTTGAAAAACTTTCTATTTCATTTCAGAAGCTAGAGTAAAATTATTTTTTCATTGAAATGTTTCCTGTCACCCTTACAGAATATTACGCCGACACCTGGGTATGGGACAATCAGAACAAATCGTCCGAGGTTGTATTATCACAAGACAGTATGGAAGCCTATTTCAATATAGATCCTGTTAATTTGAGTACTGGAACTTCAGGTAGGGCTAACAAAAAATACCACAAAGGCAACAAACTTGCGCCTCGTTCCTTATTATTTGAGGCGTTTTATTTTTTTTATATAAAACATGTGCCTTTTGGGCTATCTTCTACTAAAGCAATTTCCAAGTAACCCTAGTCGTTGGCAGACAATAAACAAAGGTTCAAATTATTTCAATGATTTTATTGATGGGAAGTAACTCTGTTAAGCATGAGCTTTATTGCTGACGATAAGATTTGGACAAGACAATCAATATTAAAAGTGTTTGTTAGAGATGTGGATTTTTCTGATAGACTACTGATTTTTGTATGTGGATTAGATTCAGCTTCAAAATAGTAATGCCATTCGAGCTTACACATAGATTGTCTGTGCGTTCAAAGACGACATGTTTACTCATCTTTTATAGGAGTACGAGGTACTAGAGCGTTAGGTGAAGGTGAACACTATTGGGAGGTAGTGTTTTTAGAACCACCATATGGTACGTCAGTAATGGTTGGAGTGGGAACAAAACATGCCAAGCTTCACACAAATAATTACGAATATGTCAATCTCATAGGTATGTATACTATGATATGACAATTTGATAGTCCAACAATCAATCATGCTTTGCTTTGACATTTTTTCGTTTTCCTTTGTTATAATATTGATGTTGGTTTTTAAATCCGGAATACACCTCGATGGCATATATGGATCTTAGAAACGCTCTCTTTGTCATCGCCTGCGTCAAGTATCATCATAATATTTCCATTTGCGCAATTCCACGTTATATATTTTGGTTAACTGCCAATATCCAGAATTAATGTCAAATGTAGGAAACTTATTATGACGTCAATGCAATGATATTTTACTAATTTCTCCATAATCTTTACCATAGATCATCATTATTCGAACGCTTCATGTTTAAATAATCAATACCCTACTGACGTTTTGCATGGGCTGCACAATCATGAGAATTTAATTTATCGGGTCTGGCGTCTCATCAGCTCCGTGGTGAGTTTTAATCAGTGACCATTTTTTATTCTTAGTAATTATTTTCTTCTTCAGGAATAGATAAAGAGAGTTGGGGTTTATCGTACAAAGGAACAATTTTTCACGAGGGACAAAGACGAAAATATTGTGATCCGATATATGACAGTAATACTGTAATAGGGTGCTTATTGAACACTTATAATGGAACACTTTCTTATTATCAAAACGGTGTTAGTCTTGGTGTGGCATTCTGTGATTCCGAGTTGATGAGTGGACATTTGTACCCAATGATTTCATCCACAGCGTCCGAGACAGAATTGGCATTAGGTAGAAGGTTCTGCAAAAGAAGCTTATCTCTGCGAGATAAATGCTGTTCCATTATACGCAATCGAATTCCCTGTAAAGACCAGGTTGATTATCTCCCTTTGCCAAACCTCGTAAAGCGACAAATCTTACTCTCGTGAACAACAAGATCTACTACAGATCTGTGATGTAATTTCCGGTGAATCAGAAAGTTGGACGAGGAAGATGGTGTCAACCTCATCTTAAGGTGATCTAATGGCTGTTATCGCCATATTACTGTCGTCTTGTCGAGTCTTGTCTTGCCTAACACTGATCTCAAGGCTGTTGAAATATATGAGAATGGAGCAGCGCTGCAATTATGTTCCTTTCCAACTTGATTAGAAGAAGCAATGTCAACTGGATTGACTAAGTTCTAAGACCTCTACTGATAAATGATTTGATGATCTAGTCTGCAGTAAAATTAGTGTTATAGTATTTCAACATGTAGCCGATATATTTTAGATTTTCTTGAAGTGTTTCCATTAAGAATGGATGTTTATCGGAACGTCAACAAAGACATCCTAATCTTTTAATTGCATTGAATAATTACAATAATTTATTAATAATAATATGACATATACACAGTACTATGAACTTTAAACATAAACGTGTGAAACCCAGTAATCAATAAAATGGATATGTGATTATGATTTTGTTGAATTGAAAATTAAATAATGAGGTATATAACATTTATGAATAATAAATTGAGACTTTTTTGAATAATAAATTGTGATTGCTATTGTCCCGAATAATAAATTGAAATTGTTACGAATAATACATTGGAATTGTTATGAAAAATAAATTTAGATTATAATGAATAATAAATGGAGATTGTTATCAATAATAAATGTAGATTATTATGAATAATAAATTTAGATTGTTATCAATAAGAAATAGAAATTGTTATCAATAATAAATTGAAATTGTTATCTATAATAAATTGAAATTGTCATCAATAATAAATTGAAATTGTTATCGTTATCAATAATAAATATAAATTGTTATCAATAATAAATTGAAATTGTTATCAATAATAAATTCAGATTGTCATCCATAATTAATTCAGATTTTTATCTTTCATGAATTCAGATTGTTATCAATAATAAATTGAAATTGTTATCAATAATAAATTGAAATTGTTATCAATAATAAATAGAAATTGTTATCGATAATAAATTGAAATTGTTATCGATAATAAATAGAAATTGTTATCAATAATAAATAGAAATTGTTATCAATAATAAATTGAAATTGTTATCGATAATAAATTGAAATTGTTATCGATAATAAATAGAAATTGTTATCAATAATAAATTGAAATTGTTATCTATAATAAATTGAAATTGTTATCAATAATAAATTGAAATTGTTATCAATAATAATAAATTAAAATTTTTATCAATAATAAATACAGATTTCTGCTGTTCTGTCAAATCATGATATCACTCAATCGAGATTGTTATCAATAATAAATGGAGCTCGTTATCAATAATATATTCAGATGAATAACAAATTGAAATTGATATCAATAATAGCAGATTTCTGCCGTTCTCGTCAAATCATATAATGTGACACTTTCTGGAGACATTCAATGACAAGAACTGGTAGTATGCCAGGCAATTTGGCACATTAGATCAATGGAGATCGAAAAATTATCATAGTCGAACACACCCGATTAGTTGCCAGGCGTTGGCTTCCAATAGAAACTTGGCAAAGTTATGAATGTCTAATGATTTGTGATAAAAACATGAATTGATAGAAAAATAGAAATGATTATATCCATGAACGAGTTCTAATTTTCAACTTTTAAGGCGCTTTTACCGTCTCTATCTAAACACAATGATTTTCCTATGTCTAAATCATACTGGCAAGTATCGTAGCCTAAATTATGATGATATGTACACACATTTGCCATTCCACATTGTTGGCTCGAATTACATTTCTTATATGGCATGCAGATTTCGTTAACACACAATCCATCGGGGCAGGAGAATTCACAATGTATTTTAGGGTAACATATCGAATGATAAGCACAATATTCATGAACACAGCAACCTTCTGAACAATATCGATACTGAAAAGAGAAAAGAAATCATTATGCATGTGAAAAAACAAATATTTAAGTGGTAGCCGGATCTGTTAGATCTGTTATATATTGTTGGTACCGCATCGATATCAGTACTTATTATTAAACTAATTATCCTTTAACAGTAAAGGTATAACATGATTCTGGTACTTTTATTAAATTACAGACGAATCAGAAATCAGATTTATTTGAAAGTGATACGGATAGGCCTAGCTGGCATTAAGCTCCTGCAGTCGGGAAATTTAGTGCATAAGCGACCACACCCCTTTAATATTAACGGCATATTTAATCATTTGTAACTTTCAATGTCGAATCTGACTGATATCAGCATGAAACACACGTTGAAAACAGAAAGTCTCATTATGGAATGACAGAATGTTTCGCCAGACTGAACTTACAGTTGATTCAACATGACAACAGACATGTTTTTTAACCAAACGAAAATAGAAAATCCTATTAATTCTAATTCTCATGATGCTAATCTGCTTCCAGAACTCGCGTAGACAAATACAACCAGACACATTAAGACATTTGTATTAATTAGGTTCGATTGTCCAGGTTTTGTTCTGTAACTAAAATGTTTTTTCAATCGTGACTTACAGTTACATTAGCTGTTTATGGTAACACTTAATCGATAAGATATAGACCTATGTTATTCAATATGTGGTGGGGTGGTTTTGCAAACCAACAAAAGGCAAAAAAGAACAAATTGTTACTGACTGCGGACAGTTTTTGCGAAATATATCTAGCATAACCCAGTATCGTCTATTTTAAGAATGTCTGAAATGATGGAAACGAGAATTGTAAAATCTCAACCAGGGACTTTATCACACGTTCCAAATACACAATATAAACGTTTGCTTTCCCTGCGTTAATACTCAGGCAAATATTATTTTACATAACCGATAGCATTAGGTTTTCTTTCAGGAAAAAGTGGTACGAAAGCTGAAATGAGTTTTTATCATCCACGATTGCGATTTCGTACTATGCAGCAATTTAAACACAATATATATAGGTATTATAAATGGTTTCTTATTAGGCCTTCGTGTTTCTCCAACAGACATAGACCGTATAATTATTTTGCTTGAATCTTTAGTCAATGTAACCTATAATTTAGAAATCCTGTTATCTTAAAAGTAGGAATAATTCTCCATGTTTCAATACAGAGGAATTTAAATGAGTAAAGTTCACGTTATGATATAGTCAGAAACAACACTGTCTATATTCCAGCCTGGTTTTGATACAAATGGTTCGCGTCTTCAGTTAGCATAATATTTTTAAAATCCAAATGGAATACTGTCTCATGTTGTATGTTGGACTCATTCCCGAAACATCTGCCTCTATTCCAGCCTCTGATGAATATTTTGACCGGTGTACAGATGTTTCGGTCTAGTTGGACACATTTAAATATACGTGTAGAATATTTAAAAAGAATGATTACTCTTTTAGCCGTTCCAAGATTCAATATATCGTAAAAAAAAAGTGTAGGATTTTCTTCTGCTGAAAATTTGCCTACAACGTCATCTACCCATTTAAGGCCAAACAAATTTAAGCGGACATCTTCTCCTTTAAATTTGAGCAATCGAGTATCATTCGATTGGCAATCCTTAAAACCACTCGTATCAACTCATGGCAACTAACAAACATTGGCGAAGGTTGAGCCGAATGTCTTTAAAACCTCAAGCTGAATTCCCAATGGAAAGACAAGACAGCGGACCACAGTATAAATCTAAGAGATTATAGCCAATTAGAACTCAAGCTGTACACACACTTCTTGTTGACTACTTGTTGAACAGTTCAATCGAGTCTACATAATCAACTATTACAAATACTGACCTCCATACAGTTAGGTACCCAATGGGACATACCAAACTCTCTGAACATAAGTGTTATTGGTACAAAAAGGTGATTACATATCTGATCATACATATAATTCAGAGACCCTCCAACCCCTATGTAAATCATGAGGAAATCATGTATTTCTTTCACTGTATAGCCCATTTTCTTCGGGAATGTCCAATGTTTCCGACGTTCTTCAAAGAGATTGTAATTGAACGAGAATTGTTGCTAAATGATGCTTGAAATACCTAGGATATGGCGGAATATTCCAAGTTAAATTCCGCCTCGTCAAACCGTCTGTGTTAGGAAACCGGGAAATGAAATGTTAAATCAAGCAAATGTTATTTTATTAATTGATGTGACAAGATGCTTAAGAAAAATTAAACCTAATAGTATTTATAGCCGGAAGCCCTGATACGTTAGATTTATAAGATTTAACGGGATTGTAAAGAGGTTTTCTTTTTTGATATGTGTATATCGGGGGCACTGTATAAATTTGCACCATTCCAATTTTCAATCGGAGGTCTGTAGTTCCTGCGATTCCATTTAAACTACGTGTTTGGTGACGACGTCACCAATTGCAAAATTCTGGAGACACATGGATTTGGAGGCTAAAATTATAGCGTTGAGCTGTGACCACTATTACTGATTAGCTTAGCTATAAAAAAAATCCGGTTTCTGAGATTAAGGCAAGATTGGTGAAGACAATGGCAAATCTGTCCCTTTAATACTTCGTATCCATGTTATGGCCTATGGACTGTTATTGATGACGTAGCACCAGGATAAAATCTAATTAGACTGACAGACAGGTGATTGTCTATAGAGAATAGTATCAGAATAGATATACTTTATTATGATATAAAAATAGCTCGACCAGACAGTACATTATAGAAACTGTCACTCACAATGTCTTTACCTACAACGTGATTTGAAATTTGAACTTTCCTGGTCTTAAACAACGATCAAAGAGGTTTTCAACATATTTCATGTTGTCACGATTGAATTCCTAATGCATTATTGAGAACCGTGAAAATTTCTCTCCTAGAATTTCCGAATCCAGAGTACCTTTTAGTTTTATCTTCACCTTTCCATTTGTGATTTGAAATCTTAATTTTCGTTGACTTTCACAAGAGGTTTTCAACATATTTCAAGGTGCTATGGTGGAATTACAAAAGAATTTACGAGAATTGTAGCGGGGACACCGAACGGTCGTGCCTAACATGAACCGACCAGAAACGACAAGTAAACGACCAACGAACCTAGCGGGAAAACGACAGTTAACGACCTCAAACTATTTTGGGAACAACTTTAGTGTGCATTTTATTGATCTATTATTGGGAGGAATCTTTCATAATTCCCACTTGAGTTCATTTTGTCTATGATATAAAGCACTTAACCCATACCTAATTCATTGTTAATACATTGAGACATTATAGGCCCGTTTACACGATTTGGACTTGGACCCGCGGATTTACTGACCCGGGTTGACTCCGGAGTTTGGAGTTCAAAAACTCCGGAGTTAACCCGAGTCAGTAAATCCGCGGGTCCAAGTCCAACTATGATACATTAAGTTTGTAAATAGTCAACAAATATGCTTAATTTTGTCTAAGAGACATAATCCTGGTAGTAAAAATTATGAACAGTTGCCTGCTCGGTTCCTGGTCGTTTCACGTTTTCATTGGTTGTTTTCTGGTCGTTTCGTGTTTTGCAGGGAATCTTTCATTTTCTTTTTAGACCTTTCGATTTCCCTTGCGACGAGTTGCACTCTTGCAATTTAAGAAAAAATTGTACAGGTCCTATTATGATGTTACTATATAGATTAATCGCAATTTAGCCTTAATGGTTTTTGCGAATGTGACGCACAGCCGCACTTGTTGATGATGGTTACTATGTGTCCCTCCAAAGAAACCATCCAGCTCAATGGGATATAAAATAAAGATAATCCAAAACTCGTTCTAAAGCCAGTTGTTATATACTGTAATGTCTAAACCTATTTTACAATGAAAATTGTGTCAAGAGAATTGAAATTTCTCGTAAAAATAAGCCTTTAGTCAATTGCTACTATTCTTGGCTTTAGTTAAGTCCAACCAGACCTACTTGTAAGTTTACAGGAGATTACGGTCGAATTAGTAGTGTGCTCATCAATAAGCTGGCTCAAGTGGACTAAGGGTGCGGGCACACCTTCACGACAAGATTATCGCGTAGCCGACATAATTATAATGTTTGGTATCTGTCGCCGATTATTTTATCGTCTGCATGACGGAGCGTCATAATCCAATCAGATTCATTTTCCTTCCAAATGCATGGACTGCACGTGATTATCGACAGTGGAAAACGACTGACTGGTGTACGCAGTCGGTTAGTGAAACTCTTGACAAGACTCTAGTCGGCGATGAAAATCGGCGATCAAAACTGTTCGCGTGTTGTCCGTATACTGTTGTGTGGTGGAAGCCATATAAATAATTGACAAAGCACGAAACTATGTGCATTTTATATTCCTTTTTAGACTAATCTTTCCAGAGCAAATTACAGGCTGCCACAGCGTACAGAACACAATACAGCAGTTATATTCACCTCAAATTATGATTCATTTGTTAGAATTTCTAAGCGGAAATGCTCAGGCCGATGTAAAAAAAAATAAGTGACATTAAGTCGTGATTTTTTTCAAATCCATGATTGATAAATGAGTTCATTGAATCTGTCAGCTTCCTGTTAATTACCATGGAAACGAATCGCAGAAAATAATTCAATTTTTAACCAACTTATGTCAGATTTTTTTCAAAATTACCTTTAAGATTTAATGAATGAGGACGTCAAAGTGAACACAAACTGTCAATAAAAAAATATAGAGTAAACACAATCAATTCCCATTGTAACCAGAACAATTTCTAGAAAATTATTCTGTCAAACATTCAAATTATTAGACAAAGAACAAGCATCAGTTAAAGGGATTTTAAAGAGGCGAACTGGCACATTTAAGTGTATATTATAAGGAACACCATCTTCACAATTACAAACTTTGTACAAACCTTGACTGCAATAGCCACTATTGTTACTCATTATTCTTGTATCACGGTATGCAGCTATTTGATTGAATCGTGCGCCAGCTTATGTAGCCAATCAGGCCCTCGCTCTAGGGCTTCATTTATTTCCACTTTCCGTTCGATGTTTGTGATTTCTTGATGAAGGGCTTGACGCTTATCGCCAATTACAGGCCGTTTTCATTTGGGCTGTAGCACAGTCGGTTAGATTGTTGGAAACTATACATACGTGTAGGCCGACACGTGATTGCGTTTGGTCACGTCGAACAAAATGATGGTGGTCGCGGGTCCTAATTCATGTCAGCGTGTGAAAATTTGATGACCTAGAATGAATCATCTATCCTCATTATTCCAGTCGACCCAGCTGTTAATGGGCACGGATTATATAGGAAAGATTAATGCCAAGAGGTTTGGCCAAGGACCAGCTTCTGGACATGAACCTCGTAAAACTAAGTTGTTTTCATTGTACAAAATAAGGCTGTTTGTTTCTTTATTTCTGGCATTTATTTATTTAATTTTTTCGACTGATGCAGCCAGAATAACGATTATAAATCAAGAAGATCAAACCAGCCCCTGATAGCTATTTTGACAGTTGTCGGCTGGTGTAGAGACAGAAAAAGACCGAGTTTGATTTGAACCGGATCCGCCAAACCCAGATATATTCAGAAAGATGGATATTTGTGTAGTTCAGTCATACCATCATTGCGAGTTATGCAAATACTGTACCCTTTGAAATTACGAATATCTAACTAAATATTACAGGTAACACGTAAGATTTACAACAGCGCTGGTATTTGTAGATAAATGATTCAGATTAACAAAAAGACTTCTATAAATGTAATTTATAAGGTATGTTTAATGGGATAAAATCGATTTGTAATTGTGAATTATTTATAAAGGATGTCTTTTAAAATTACAGTCTTACACAGTAATAATCGTTTTTTTATGTAGATGATATTTACCACAATTTGTGTTCATATAACAAGGCTGGCTTGCTTTACGACAATTGTTATTATGTTATTATATTATGTTTATATATTATTCGTATGCTCTGTCCTGCTATGCTATGCCATGCTATCCTCATCCTATCCTCTATCTCCTATCCTATCCTATCCTATCCTATCCTATCCTATCCTATCCTATCCTATCCTATCCTATCCTATCCTATCCTATCCTATCCTATCCTATCCCTGTGTTGTACTTCATCAACTCTACTATCAACACCGATGCTCAGTCAAGACAGTATTCCGAATATTTGATTTTGCATGTGTCTGACTGTTAGCGCAGCTGTTCATACGAGACTACGTATGGTTCTTACGAGGAAATAGCTCACACGGATATAGTTCACAACCATTTTGAATCACTTTTTCAACTTTTTAAAAAAAAAAAGACTACAATGTTTCTACAAAGCCGTTAATCACATTTAAAGCTATTTCTAAACCTGTAATTGTGAAATAATACATACCCTTCTGGCGTAGACAATTCCCGACATTAACCATAATGAAACAAACAGACAGTAACCCGTCATCAAATAACTGGTGAAACTTAATAACCTCTGCATCATTTATTGTCAACACGCTCCCAAGTGTGCACACACCTTTACCAATTAACTAATGAAAGCTAACCAGATCTTAGGAGTTCTGTTCATTCTTCAAGTTCTTGATTCTGTATTCACTGAAATACATGTAGTTATTGGTTTAAAAAATGTGTTCGATAGATCTCATTAGCAATAACTAAAACTGTCCAGTACGTTTTTCGTTTATAATGAAACACTTACGAAAAGCAAAATTTTATGCTTACACCATTGAGTAGTTTAAATGGTAAATGTCACACTTCCGTATCTAAATGTGTTCGAGAGATCACCTTGGCAACAACCAAAACCTACGGGCAACCTTTTTGTTTATAATACGACACTTAAGATGCACAATATACCGACTAAATTACAAGACGTTTCTGGTAGGTGTAACACTTCCGGTTTCCAAATTACAATTACGTCATATTACAGCTTCTAAAATAACGCACAATACTAAGCCTTTTCCTTATATAGTTAACATGATCAAATTGTCACAAAGAAGTTGAAACTAAGTCGTTAATTACAATACTTGTGGAGATAATCACGCA